CAGTGAGCGGGAACCGGTCTGTATGTGGGATCCGAACCCTCGGCGGGAGCGCTGCCGCGCTTCCCAAGCGGCGCACTAGCGCAGTGCGCCACCGGGCCGGCCCATAATTGTGTTTTTGTAAAAAGTGTCACTGAGTGAGTATGTACACATATGTGTACACAGAGATGGAGTGCGAGACCTCTCTGCAGTGTTTCAACCAAGGCTGGAAAGGATGTGCCCGAAACGTCATGGGGGCAGGGGTGGGGCAGGCCAGAGCGCTTCTGCTGTTGTGCTCGGTAACATTTGATGAGCTCAGCAGCTTCACAGGTCCATACATCCCTTGCAACCTTAACTAGTTTAAGAAAATGTGGACAACATCAGAAATGTCCACTTCTAGGGCCGGCCCGGTGGCGCACTGCGCTAATGCGCCACTTGGGAAGTGCGGAGGCGCTCCCGCCGAGGGTTCGGATCCCACACACAGACCGGTTCCTGCTCACTGGCTGAGCGAGGCGCGGGGACAGCACTGAGGGTTGCGATCCGTTGCCGGACACGGAAAAAGACAAAAAAAATTTAAAAAATAAAAATAAAATAAAATAAAATAAAAAAAAAAAGAAAGAAAAAAAAGAAATGTCCACTTCTAGAGCACTCTCATCAATCTTCTGTAGAGAGGGCTTTTATCAGAATTAGCATCCTTTGGAAACTGTGCATCTGAACCTTAGCCTCTGAAGCAGCTCCTGCCTTTACATGTGTCCTCTCTTTCCTGCGTCTGTCACCTTGAAACCAAGCTGCCACTCAGTCTGTCCACGGTGTGCTGGCGGTGTTTCTCCTGTTTTCTTCCTTGAAAGAAGGCATCCTAGTATCACAACCTCATGGCTGAGTTGCACCTCCATCTAAGCTTTGGAATATTTCTGTAGAGACTTGATGGCTTTTGGCCTGTTTCTTTTCCTGCCTACCATGAATCTAATTCCTTTACTCTTACCTAGGACAGGTGGTGCCTGCATTGTGGAAGAAGTTCTGCACATTCTGATTAAATGTCAGATGTTTTCTTCTTCTAGAGAAACCTGATGCACAGCAAAAGTCAAGCAAGAAAAGTGTTCCAGAGATCATCATCACTCAAGCCTCAAATGAGACTCTTGTCACCTACAGTTCCACCGGAAGTAAAGAGCAGAGAACGATTCGGGAACAGGCTGAGTGGGGCCCCTACCATCGGCACAGGAAACCCAGTACAGTAGACGCCTATAGTTTGGATATCAAAGAATCAACAAGTGCCCCCGAGTAGCTGTCATCATTCACTGTGACATGAGTCTCAGCCATGATGGCAGGAGGGCTTCCGTGCCCCATGGAAAGCTGCAGGTGCCTCTTCTTCGGTGCATAAGCTTCTGCCCCAGTGACCACCCTGGTCTTACCTTCCCCAGAGCCGCTGGCAGCTTGGTGGAAAGCAAGAGTGACTGGCTCAGAGAGTGAAGTCTAGTGTAAGCACCCCTGCTGGAACTGGCTGGCTGTGCAGAGTGGTGGGCAGATAGCAGGTGGCATCTTACACTCTGACTCATGATGGGCAGTTAAAATCCTTTCCATTCACTTCTGAATGAGTACAGTCTAAGTACTTGGAAGTGATAGAGAGTGAGATGTCCCCCAAACTTAGGGAAAAGTTCAGATTCTGTGGGGTAAACTTTTAAGGTGTAATGTTCCAGAAGGGAGAGGTGCAAAGTCATCTAACAGGGGCCCAAGGGCTCGTAGCTTGACTATAATCTAACCTAGTGTATTAAAAGGCCTAGAAGAAGAATGTGGAATGTGTCCTGGTGGGGATGGGGCTGCCATGGCACTTACACTTTGAAAGTGGTCTTGTCAACACTGCCTTGTCCTTCGGTCTCATAAACAAGGGTTCCAGATAGTGAAGGGCCACTTGGGGGACCTGAGCACAATGCTCTTGGACAACTTCTCAGCTGACTTCACCCTCACCAGCAACCCTTTGGGCAGGATCCAGTGTTGCCATTTGGTTTCATGCAGTTAGTCTAGTGACAGCATATTGGTTTTGTTAGTTTCTAGACTGGCTCTGAGATGTTCTGGCCTTGGTGGGCTGACTACCAGTGGCATGTCCACCAGGATCATGGACACAACCTTCTCAAGTGCTGGGGTGAAGGGGCCTGCTTCCTGTCACATATGTATAGTTTCTAATACATACATATACACACAGCCCTATCTAGTACACGTATGCTTACAAGTACAGTCCTGTATATGTATGCATATATACAAACTAAAAAATGACTTTGAAAAATGAGTTTTCAAAATCAAAAACGTATAGCATGAATATATGACATTGTTTAAAGACTATTTAGCTTAAAAGTGTTTTAAACTTTCCAGGGGGAAAGCAATCTGGCAGAAGTCGTCTAATTTTTTTAAATGTTGGAGGGTTTGCTACTGAAAGCCTGCTTTGCATTAACCTGAGTTACTGGAGCCCAGATGGGCCTGTGCTCCTGGGCTCCTCAGAGCAGGAACAGCCCAGCTTTCTAACCCTTACAAGAAACACCCCCAGGGATTTACATTCCATCACACACACACACACACAAGTGCAGTCCGTTGGGGCCTTTGGGCCTCCTGTGTTTCTCTCGGCCAGTACACCATTTCCTTCCCACCTGTCCTCCCAGCTGGTTCCAGAGCCGAGCAGCAATCCTCAACCTGTAAAGATGGATGTCGTGAGAGTGGTGAGGGAGAACAGGAAATGCAGTCCCTTACTTCTTCCTGAATGATGGTGTGTCCCCTCCTGCACGCAGTGCCAGCCTATCCCTGGCTGTCAATGGGGATGAGGCTGATTTCAGGGCAGACTCCTGCTCCCCTGCTGCCATCCAAGTACAGCTCTCACAGCTGTCTCTTGGAAGAGCTTAAAGCATCAGACTGGTTCCTGACCTGCTGGAATTGATATTTGTAATTTAAATGTCTCCTGGAGGCTACAGGATGTGAATGAAACATCAAGAGTGGGGAGGAGAGGCCCTCTCTTCATGCTGATCAAAAACAGTCTAGATTTGGCTGTGTACAGTAGTTTGTGCCCGGCTAGTGTAACAGATTTCGACAGTGAAGCCAGACTAGGCGACATGCTGTCCCCGATCCTGGGTCCATGCACCAAGGTGCTTCATGAACATTCCATGTTGACTTTCCTTCTTCCACCTTCCAGGGATGGGCCAGAGATTGGCAAGGCAGCTGCCCGTGGTGGTGGCCTGCTGCAGCCCTGGAGCTCTGGTCTTCAGTAAGTGAAGGGAGGCATGCGGCTGTGGACCTCTTCTCACCCGGGAGCTCCTCTCCCCATCTTCCACCTTGGCCTGGTCATTTCCATCACAGAACTTCTAACAGCTTGTATACTGGGGGCTTGTTTTCCTTCAGTCTCCCCTACCCAATGTGTACCTAGCACAGAGGAGGCACTCAAATGATTGTTGAAGCCTACAGCCCTGGACCAAGACCTGACCCCTCACCTGGAGGACCCTCACCTGGAGACACCCTATCCTGGAGACTCCCTTATCAGCAGGACCCCTCTCCTAGAGACACCTCTCTTGGAGGACCCCCACCTGGACGATCGCAGCGGCCCCCCAGTCCGCCTTCTCCCGCAGTCCAGCCGGATCTGGGGCCCGTGCTTAACGCTGACAAGTTGTCGGAGCAGATCCTGTGAGCTGAGGTCCTCGGAGGGTTCGCGGGGGTTGCCTTGGTAACCGTTGCTAAGGAGAGGACACCCCCGGAAGTAGATTACGCGCCTGCGCCGGGGGACCCGTCCGCGCCTGCACACACGGGAAGCGAAGCGGGAGTTCGGCATGGCGGAGGCGGACCTGGAGTCTGAGCCGATCCGCCTGAAGTGTATCCGTAAGGAAGGCTTCTTCACGGTGCCTCCGGAACACAGGGTGCGAGGGGGTGCCGCTCGGGCCGCTCTGCCGCCTCGCCAGCGGCCGGGCCGGAGCGAGGCGCGTGGGGTTCTCGGTGTTGCGCTGGAGCGCCGAGGTTTCCGGCACGGGCAGCAGTGACAGTCCCGGAGGGCGCGGAAGCCGGCGGGGCCGCCCGGATCCTCGGCAGCCGGGGCTCGGGACGCGGGGGCGGCTCTGAAGCCGCCGGTCTCTGCGGGCGGAGCCGGCTCCGGGCTCCAACTCGGACGTTTCTAGGTCTCGCGCCTGAGATGGGCTTTGCAGGCTGAGCCGGCAGCCGCTCGCGTTGGGGAGAATTTGCCAAGGGAGGAGCTGGAGGCCTGGAGGCTCCGCTGGGCGCGGCTGACCCAGCAGGGCTCCGCCTGCCACCCAGCAGCTTGCACAGGTGCCTCGCTCAGTGCGGGGCCTGTGCGGGGGCGACGGTCACGTAGGCCTCCCGGCGACTCTTGTAGAGCTGAGGAAGGTGAATCTTAGGGGCGTTCAGTCATTTTACCAAGGTAGGCAGCTCGTGGAGAGACAGGTTTGAACTGCCAGGGTTGGATTGTGGCTTAACTACTTGCCGATGCTCTGAGTGGTCCAGTCACTTGTCCCATAAGAAACACGAGCAGATTGTGGCTTAATGAGCGACAGGAGCCACGCGAGCCCTTTGCTGGTCTTTGTGCATTGTTCACTTGTGCAGCAGGTGCTCGCTCAGTTCAGAGCATGGCGCCGGAGGCTGGGGCTAAAGCAGCGAGTCGGAAATCTGCTCTCAAAGCGGAGCTAAGACATACCCAGCCAAGGACAATGAGCAGTGCGCAACGGTAGGTGCTTGGAGACGTACAAGTACCAGGGATTTAGAAGAACGAGTTGTTTTTAGCCAGAGGTCAGGAAGAGCTTTGTAGAAGGGGTGGCATTTCTTTGGTACCACGAAGTGTGGCTAGCATTTGGACGCACAGAGATGAGAAGAGGTGGCATGCTAGAATCGGAGCTGCAGGGGCAAAGTCAGGAAGAGAAATACAGATATGGGGCCAACCCGTGGCTCACTCGGGAGAATGCGGTGCTGGGAGCACAGCGGTGCTGGGAGCACAGCGGCGCTGGGAGCGCTGAGGCTGCGGGTTCGGATCCTATATAGGGATGGCCTGTGCGCTCACTGGCTGAGCGTGGTGCGGGCGACACCAAGCCAAGGGTTACGATCCCCTTACCGGTCACAAAAAAAAGAAAAGAAAAGAAAAGAAATACAGATATGAACAGAAAGCACGAGGAGAGAGGGTGTGAGAAGGGGAATTAAGGCAGAAAAGGGAGGTTGCGGCGAGGTCATGGGAGGGCCAGATGATTCTGACTCAATTTCCAGGAGTCAGGAAGTAAGAAGACTGAGGGCAGGGTTGTTAAGAGGAGGAAAGCGGGTAATTTGAATCTTGCTGCATGCACTTCTTAGATCCAAGTAGAAGTGCTCATTCGGTCCATCTACAAATGTGCTACATTATAAACGTGTATTAGGGTATGGGCTCTCTGCTAGGACAGAGAGATCTCAAGATAAAGATAAGGCTTCATTTCTCTCTCCCTTAACATTCCAGAGAAAAACAGCTGTTTTGCGCAAGGCAGGCCAGGCATCTGGTTTCATCTGTCTTTTTGCTCCACTTACACTTCATCCACGTCCCACCCTGCCTCCAGGGGCCAAGGGAAGTGGGGAGCAACCATCCTTCTTTGATCTGGAAGTCACACGTTTCCCAAGGCCGAATGCGACTGGGTAGTGTTTCATAACTCAAAAGAAGTAGTGTTATGGATATTGGGGACAGCATTCTCTGCCATATAAGTGTTCCTGTATGTATGTGGCTTGTGGCTACTGTTACTAGAAGGGAGTGGTTAGGCCACTATGATGTTTCATTCGAAGTGTTGGCCCAGCATCGTGATCCCCCCTTTCTCATCAGAAAAGCTGAGGTCCATGACTGCTTTTTTGTTTGGTAAACAACACACGAGCGGGTTCCTTGGTGCAAATGATGTGTGAAATATCCATCCTCAGCTGTTCTCTTTCAGCTGGGACGATGCCGGAGCGTGAAGGAGTTTGAGAAGCTGAACCGCATCGGGGAGGGCACCTATGGCATTGTGTGTGAGTGGCCAAGACGGGGGTCCTGGAGCAACAGCTTATGGCTCTGACGAGCACAGGACAGGGGCTTTCCCAGTGGTAGCTGTGTTGAGGCTGGAAGGCTCACATCCTGTGCTCCATACCAGGGCAAAAACTTGTTCAGGGACTGTGGGTGAAAACCATAAACTTGACCCCATGCCTGTGTAAACATAAGTGTAAGGTTGCTAATGTCAGTAATCCAAATGTGTAATTGTAGGGTGGAGAAAACTGTTAGAGCAATACAGTGTAGAATTCCCAAGAGCAGCTGGAGATTATAGCAGCTGCAACATGGATGTGAGTCATTCTGGAAGCTGCACAAATCAGCACAATGCTTTCTGTAGCCAGCTTCACACAAAATAAGGGTCATTTTTTTTCTAGATATAGTACCTTGTTTGCTGTTAGAACATAGTCATGAGAACAGAAGACAGTGATCTCCATGCTGACTAAGTAGGAGAATGTACAGAGCTTACCACACAACTGGCTTCAGCACAGAGAGAAAACTGAGCACACCTACCCTGCTCAAATGAGCGGAAACCCCTAGGGAGCATGTGTCTTGGGCTAGGCGTGTTGCTTGCATAGAATGAGGACTGAGTGTTGCTGGGTATTATGTTGTCAAAGAAAAGAAAGGGAACCCTGGGGTGCTCAGGAAGAGGCTCTCGTGGTGGGAGGAACTTGAGATGGGGGATCAGGTTGGACTCCCATCGTGGATATGTTTCCATTTCAGATCGGGCCCGGGACACCCAGACGGATGAGATTGTTGCACTGAAGAAAGTGCGGATGGACAAGGAGAAGGATGGTGAGCTGGGAGAAGGGGCAGTACGATGGCTGGGACCTCACAGTGGGAGGGGGGCAGAAAGGTGCGACCTGCCTGAGGTTTCCTCATGACCAAACCCTCCTGAGAGCATCTGCTCGGTCACTAAATGGGGGCTGGCCTTTGGGAGGGCTCCAGCATGACCCCGCTTTCACCCCAGTCCCACACTTAGCCCCAGCTCCCTGAGGCCTGCATGATTCTCCCCACTGCCAGAGTCTGCATTCTGTCCCTCCTGTCTGGTGACTCCACCTCACCGTCTCAGCTCCTGGTCCCCCTCCACACCAAGGCTCTACCTTGCCCACCGTGGACAACCTGTCTAACCCTGTGGTTGGCACAGAGAGTTGCTCATTCATATTTGGTGAATGAAGGGTGAAAGTGCTTATTAGGATTGTCCTAGTTCTCCCTGAGCGCAGGACTGGTGTTGGGTGTTTCTAGAGCCCTGAGAGTGGCAGCATGGGGCTCGCTGAGGCCTCTCTCTTTCCAGGCATCCCCATCAGCAGCCTGCGGGAAATCACACTGCTCCTCCGCCTTCGCCATCCCAACATTGTGGAGCTAAAGGAGGTGGTTGTGGGGAGCCACCTGGAGAGGTGAGCAATCTCCTGCCCCTCCTGGTGTGGTCCCCTCCTCCTGCTGTGGGGCCCTTCCTGCAGGAGGGGAGAAGCGGGGGGTGGCATGCATCCTACCCTTTTTTCTTTCAGCATCTTCCTGGTGATGGGTTACTGTGAGCAAGACCTGGCCAGCCTCCTGGAGAATATGCCGACACCCTTCTCTGAGGCCCAGGTGCATGGCTGGGGGCCCCTGGGGTGGAGGTGGGGGGTTCACAGGCCCTTGTGGTGCACATTTAAGCTGAACGTGGCTGTCTAAGGATGTGTGGAGCTGCTGCCGCCTCCCGGGTATCTCAGGGAGGTTTAATGAGGTGGAATTACTGCCTGTGGGGTAACAAGGGGGCATCAGAAGCCAGGCCTAGAAGCTGGCCTGAGGTCCCTCCCAGCACTGCTCAGTAGACAGCCCACTGAGCAGGGGAGGTGACAGCAGCATCTTCCCAGCTGCACTGCACACAGCAACCACTGGTTCCCAAGGCTGCCACAGTGACCACTGGTCCTGGTGGCTGTGTGCATGTGACAGAACCTGGGCTGGGCTCCCCTAACTAGTGCCTTTGCCCTGTGCACAGGTCAAGTGCATTGTGCTGCAGGTTCTCCGGGGCCTCCAGTACCTGCACAGGAACTTCATCATCCACAGGTGGGTGGGGACAGCCTGGATGAGGGATGTGGCGGGCAAGGCCTGGGGTATAGTCTTGGGTGGAGGACAGTGCTGGTGGGTCACTCTAAGCGCCATGTAGGAGAGCAGATGGGCAGTGGAAACCCTGACTGCTTCATGAGGAAAGAGTCCAGATCCAAACAAGCTTGAGAAGCCCTTGTGCTGCTTGCTCTCTGGGAGGCCAACAGTGGGTATGTGTGAGCTTGGTCAGGCCCTGAGAAGTCCCGCAGTGGAAAGAGCCGAGCTGTGGAGCTGTGACTCTCAGTAGGATTGTGCAGGCAGCAGGTTCTTCCTGCTCTGGGGCAGGTGATGGGACACCCACTGGGGAACCAGGTAGAACTGGAAGTTAGAACTTGTGTGGGTCCCAGCGCTGCCTCTTCTCAGAAGTTGCTCAAGCTGTGGTGTTCCCAGCTGTGGATGGCTTTGCCACTGCCCACCCTCCACTGTCCAGAGGCCCTAACACCAGGAGGTGGGTGGGAGAGCGTGGTGAGCTTCAGCTGTGGTGACAAACTCATTCCCTGATGGAACTTGCTTCCTGGGAGTCACCAGTGTTCTCTGTCTGTAACAGGGACTTGAAGGTCTCCAACTTGCTCATGACTGATAAGGGCTATGTGAAGACAGGTGGGTTCAGGGTGCGGGCCCCGAGTGCATGGGGCGTCTTTCCATGGTCACCACCTGGCTGGGGGGGGGGGCT